TGCCTGGATCGGCTCTGCTTTCCTGTGATGCAAACAAGCCTTTCCATCTCCCCATCATAGTTTTTTAGAAATGTTTAAGCCTTCCCAGACACCTCTCTGGTCATTCATTTTCCAACATTTGAATCTACAGTTCCAAGGAAGTAAAGAACATTTGCAGATTTTTTTTCTTTTCTGGTTCACAGCGATAGGATACGACATGAAGTATCAAGAGAAGCTCAACTGAGATCATTACAATTTCACCTTTTATGAGATATCTAACAGTGATTTTGTCATTTTACTCCAGAAATCCAGCAGAAACTCACCAGGTTGTGCCTTCTGCTCCCCCAAATACACAACACATAATTCATACCTTGCTAGATCAACTTGGCCTCCCAGAACCAGTCTGGGGAGGTGGTCCTATAGCCATGGTGAGGGCAGGCACATAGAAAGAAGAGTGACACAGACAAGCTGGGGGTCACCTCTGTGAATGGGGGACTCAGAAAAATATTCTCATGGGGTAACCTTGCTGCAGTCTTTTGTATTTTTTTCACTCCTTGGTATGGACTGTGTATATCTTTGCAGTATGATTGCCCTGTGAGATAAAATTGATATGATAGAACCCAAATGGCAGGTACAGTCTGTAGGGTTTGAAGTATAATCTGAACTGGCTAATTTAAACAGTTTAAAAATGGATGCAGACAATTGAGTGTTCACTAAACTTGGATGGGATGTGGAGGGGAAGGTGCACTCAACACAACTCCTTTAAGACCTCATTTCTCAGCCGTGGGTGGACCTGAGAGGTAAGACAAAATGTTCTAGGAAGGTTCAAACTCTCAGAGACTTCAAGGAAAGGTCGTGTGCTCCTCTGCCAATGCAAGGGGAACATGGGACTGTGCATAGTTTCTACCAAAAAAGTCACGTACATAAAGGTGAAAACTTTCAGCCGCCCACCCCGCTTACCTTGCATCCAGCAGGAAACCAAAGACCCATGGCAGGTGACCAACTCCCAGTTTTCTGAGCCAGTACAGAATTTTGGAATATTCTTCTATCTTTAAAGTCCTGAGTGAAGGAACTTGATTTTTGACCTTTGCAGGGGAAAATCACCAACAATACATCTCATTGTTTGATTTGTAAAACCAAAGGGTTTGAAGATAGTTTCATAGAGAGAGAAAGGATGAGAGAGATAGAGACAAAGGCCGAAAGTGACATATGGGCAAAAGGCAGTTTAATGACTAGACCTGGATTGCAATGTTGCTCCATCACTTAGCAGTCGTAGCATTAAAATTTGAGGCAGATTCCTTCTCGGAGCCCCGGTTTCCTCAAGTGTAACATGGAGACAGTGACCTATAAGGGTGGCTCTGGAGCAGAGAGGATGCCTTGGGTGGTTGAGATGCAGAGGCGCTCAAGGCAGAATTGCTCCTATTGGTGGTTCTTGCTGTTGCTATGGTTACTGCCCCCCACCCTGTTAGCTGCAGACAGGCCTCTGGCCTTTACATTTGGAGTTTGTCCTCTGAAAAGTCACTCTTCTGCCAGTAAAGGAAATGGCCTGGAGCCCTATTCTCAGATACTGTCCGGGACAGAGGAGCCAGTGCTCACTGTGTGTTTACTCAAGCCAGAGGGTTCAAACTGCTTCCTCAAACCGTCCCAGGGAAGCTTTGTCAGCTGAGTGTTTATGATCGGCTGCCTGGGAAGGAATAATTAAACTCCTGCCAACAGAAAGCGCCCTGTACACACCTCAGAGCAGCCTCCCTGTTTTTTTCTAAATGGCATGGCTCCCCGGCCCCCCGAGATAATCACATTTGTGTTGTGATTTAGCCAGAAGTTCTAAGGCTTCAGTGCTTCCCTTGCCCTCATGGGCACTTTGTCAGGAGCAGTTCAGGGTCTGTCTTGCGAGGAAGTCCATGGTCCCCCTTAGCCCTAGCTGGGGAGGGGCTGCAGTGGGTCCCCCACTGCTAAGGGAGGCCAGCTCCCATCTCAGTAGAAGGAGCGACTTCAGCGGATACGGAATACGAAACAGAGGGCCAACAAGTGCCCTGTGCGTGTCGATGCCCTTCTAGAAGGGGAGTCTAATTGCACAACATCCCCTTCCCGGAGGGTCAGAACTCCCAGTGGAGAGGGACTCTAATGCTAATAAAAAGGGCCCCTGAAAGGGACAAATTCACACCTGTACATGCTCAGAAGAGATGATGAAGGGAACTTCCTGGTGGTCCAGTGGTTGAGACTCTGTGCTCTCATGGCCCATCACTGGGGGCGCATGACATTTCTCCAAGATATTTGAACCCTGAGGAGACTGGCTCCCTGTGCGGACGCCCCCAGCTCAGCCCCGGGGACCCACCAGCTGCACCAGGGGACTCACACGCTTGAACGCGCCACACGGCTCAGGTGTGCAGAGAAAAGGGAACTCCTCCCGTGGTCTGCCCTTGGTCCTGATCCTCCCCTACCCACGAGCAAGAAAAAACAGCTAACTTACCTCTGCCCATCTGATCTGTTCACTGTCCTCTGAGGTGAAGCTCAGCCTTGCCGATTTCTGTCTCTTCTGCCTCTTTCATAAAGTCTTTTGCAAAATGGCTTTTCAGATGTTTGGGAGGAAGGTTTAGGGTCTTGGAGGATGGTGTCCTCTGGCTCCTTCCCGGGAGGGATGGCCTTCGTGTCCCTGGTTCTTAAACACCTGACTGGCCTTTGGGGTGCAAAATGTGTAACTGGAGGACTCCAGATCTGTCCCAGGCCCACAGGGAACACCAGCCACCGTCCTCTGGCTAATTAGCATCATCTTCATGCTCCCTGACGCAGACACTCAAACCGTGCCGAGGCCCCCAGCTGCTGAGCACCCACCTGGCTTCTGCAGACCTGTTACTTCCCCCCCCATAACTGGCCCCCAGAAAGTGCACGTGGAGCTCTTAGTGCATCAGCCCACGAGGGCCTGGGAAAGCTTTATCTCAGGCCTGTTACCCACAGTGACTCAGCCGAGCCCTGACTTAAGATGTGAGTGCAAGTAGCTCATTCGGGAGATGACACTGGGAAACACTGGTAGGGAGGAAGGGAAGTAAACAGGAAAAAGAGAAATCAGAAAAACATGCATCATTTTTAAAAATATATTTATTTCTTTATTTGGCTGTGCCGGGTCTTAGTTATAGCATGCAAACTCTTAGTTGTGGCATATGGGATCTGGTTCCCTGACCAGGGTTTGAACCTGGGTCCCCTGCATTGGGATCGTGGAGTCTCAGACACTGGACCACCAGGGAAGTCCCAAGGTTGCATTATTAAGCACATCGCCACTGTGGACAACTGGGGTTTAATCCCCCCAGGGAAGCTGAGAAACAGGGCAGAACAAGCCTCAGAGTTAAAAATTCATAAAGCGAACTGTGGAGATGACACAGAATATGCATGCAAGGCAGTGTAGCACCCAGCATGAACACAGTCTGCTTCGCCACCAGCGCTCAGGACCCGACTGCTGCTCGCCAGCTCTTTCCAGGGCTTTTCTGGCTGTTGGCTTTTCAGTATGTCTTTGATCGCGTCTTTCTGGTCCTCTCCCTCTTTTGTTTTCACTCCCTGAACTGAAGCGTGTATTTCCCAAGGTCCAGCCTGAGTTTTCCACTCTCTTCCTGCTGGATGACTGCATCCACACCCAAAGTTAGTGGGAAAAAAATACTCAATTCCCTGCAAACACTGATCCATAGAGACCCCCCAGGGTCTCCATTCTGTCTTACTCCAGTGAAGGGACTGCAGCAGTCCTTGTTAAAATGAAACCTTGTCATTGTTAATGTGTTAGAAGGTGTAGTAAAAGCAGCTGAGTGAATGTTTGTTTAATGATGTGAAGCGTTGTAACATTTTGGGGGAGATGAGTCTTTTCATACCACTTTGATGGGAGTCCAGCTTTATATGGCCTTCTCAGAGGGTATCTTGAGAATAATCGTCGAAACTAAAAATACACACTTTTTACCACCCAGTAAGGCTACTTTTTGTGTATTCATTCTAGAGAAACTCATTCAAATGTGTGCAGTGGAATTCATTCCTCTTAGTTATATTAGCCACATATTGCTAAATGTCCATAGATAAATGAAAAATGATGTATTTATATGATACGGCAGTTAAAAAGAAATGAACAAGAACTCTATATATCAACCAGGATAGATCTAAAATAGTTGGGGAAAAAAAGCAGCTAGCAAGCACTGGTAACTTTTCTATCCCAACAGTTTCGCATTTTTCAAAATGTTTTATGGGTGAAACCAAACCATATGCAATCTTTTGAGACTGGCTTCTTTAATTGAGTATAGTACATTTGAGATTCGTCCATCAGTCGTTCCTTTATATTGTTCAAATGTGTTGCCTTTTTATCCTGCTGATAGAAACCAAACTCACAACAATGGTGAACTCTGGGAGGATGGAAGGAGCCAGGGTTGGAGATGGAGAGCATTAAAGATTTGGCTTTATTGGTAATGCTATCACTGAAAAGAAAACAGTGGATTTCTGTCTTGACGTGTGTACTTGAAAATTATGTTTACAAAGGCAGTAGATGAAGTTGATAACCTGGTCATTGAGAGAACACCTCTGTACTTAGATAATATACAATGGAGTCTTTAGGAGGAGAAGCTATGCCGTATTCAACTCACCTGCAGAAGAGAGAGAGAAGATATAGGAAATTCCTGATGTCAGCTGAAGAGGAAAGGAATTTCAGAAAGCAGGGAGAGACAAGCTGGGGGCAGCGTCTACCTTCCAGGTCCAAAGCAGAAAAGAGGAGAGGTGGGGGAAGGGCGCGCTCTTCCCAGGCATCTTGCGAGGCAGTAGGCTCCGATGAGAGGAAGCAGGGGGCTGAAGAAGCGCCCCAGGGCTCAGGTCCCGGGCTATCAGAGCATGTTTGCATAAGGGGTTGTGAGGTTTGTCAGCCTGGTCCTCCACATGTGACTATGGCTGGGATCCACAGCTTAAAATTCATTTGCTGCTGAGGATCGTGAATCGTACTAGGGAGACACCTCAGTGATGCATGTGTCTCTCCTCAGACCTGGTGAGCGAAACAGCTGATGTTGGGTGATGCAGGTCAGGTGAGCAGCAGGAGAGCCCAATGGAGAACTAAAGGCGAGAGCTGGAATCTCAGGGCTCCTGTCCCATCCCTGTACCACCTGCCTTCCTATGTGCCATCTTAGCCTGGACTTGTGAGGGTGAAGGGCAAACCCAAGGTGCTCCAGGAATATAGGTGGGTACCACATCCGTACTGGTACTGGATCTCAACTTTGAACAAGGGACTTACTCTTCAATGTCACCTCCTAACTTCTCACCCCACCTCTTGGCCTTTCTAGATATTCCTACTAGAGTACTAAGTGCTACCTTCCACTCACCTCTTGGGATATTCACCTTCCCTCCCAACTAAACTTCCTTTACCATGTCCCTCTTTCTGCCAATGGCTCCAAAATGTTCAGCATCCAGACAGGTCACTCTCACCCTATTCTTCCTCCTTTTCTTCTCAATTAAAACTTTCCCTGAAGACCACCTCTTCTGCCTCTGACATTTCCTGACTCACTCCTTCTTCATTCCTGTGTCCGTCAGCTCCGACGAGGAGTCATACCTGTCTAACCAATCTTTCTTTCACTCTGATCTCACCCTGTCCATTGCTTTCTTCACACTGCTGTCAATCATTCCAACCCCTCCCCGACCCCGCAGCAGCCTCCCATTGTCCATCTCATTAGTCACTTCCTAGTCATCTTTAATTTCCCATGTCCAAGAAGTCACTGCCCTATACATTGTTTCCTTCAAATTGTCTCATATCCATCTTTTTTCATCATTTCCACTGCAGCCTCCTATTTCTATAAGTCATCACCCAAGAACCCAGTAACCATCGGCCTTCTTGACTTCAGTTTCTCCACACTCCCCTACATTCCACCCCTGCACTAATCTTAACTTCAGCATCATTTCCCCAGACCACACCTCTGCTCCAAGAATGAACAGTGGCTTCCCGCTGTTTATCACATCAAATTTAAACTTCTTTGCCTGACTGTCATCATCTGGCCCTACACCCCAGTTTTCCCACCCACCCCGCATTTTTTCCTATTCCAAACTAAGTTTCCTCCACCCTGTCTGTTCTGTAAACATTCTATGCTTAGTCCTAAGCATAAAGCTTTGCTCAGACTTTCCATCCTCTGTTTAATCAAAACCTGTTTAACTTGTTAATATCTATGGGATCTTTCATGGCCTTTTATCTACATCTCATGTTCTATCAATACTAAAACCAGAATGTTGGGAGCAAGAGATCAGATTTGACCAGGGAAACCTGAGGCTAAGAGTCCATGGAACTCCCCCTAGGTGACAATCAGGCATTAGGGCCCTAAGCAGGGGCCTGAGAGAGAACCCATCACACTAAGGATAGTTCTGTGAGTGTAGGAGGTGATGTCAAGCCTGGGACATGAGTCTGTGACAGAAGTATGAAAGAAGACTTTCAATTCCTAGAAAAGGGCAGGCATCTGCGTTTGGAATGCACTCAGAAGTCATAGACTTAGTTCACTCAAGGGAAGAAAGGTATAAAGAAGAGGAAGGTAGGAGGCTGGTGGAGGAATTGGTGGCAGTAGATGGTTCTGGCAGGCTGACCAATGAAAAATTCTTGCCTTCATCATGAACATCTTGTGTGCTTGCTTGACCTCTATAGTACATAGTCTCCAAGGAAATTCTTTCCTTCACCTTTATGTAGAAGTCATTCCGCCATTGACAAGGGGCATTTATTTCTCCTCTCCTTGCTTCTGGGTTGGCCTTGTGACTGCTTTGGTCAAAAGACTATATGGCATGTGATGTTATGGAACTTCTGTCCTGAACCTTAAGAAGCCTGGCAGCTTCCACTCCTTCTTGGAACACCTTTGCCATGCTGGAAGGAGCCCAAGGGACGTGGAGGAGAACCGGACACTCAGTGTTCGGCCCCAACTCAGCTCCCAGACAACAGCCAGCATCAACCAGCCACGTGAGTTCTCTATTGGGATGTCTGGTTCAGAAAAGCCCCCACATTGTCGACTAGCGACATCACATAGAACAGAAAAACATCCAGTGGGGCCCAAGTCAAACCACAGAATTGGAAAGATAATAAAAATGATTGCTGTTTCTAAGCTTCTAGGTTTGGAAATGTTTTTCTGCAATATAAAGCCAAAACAGACTCAATGAATGTCTTGGCTTCTAATGGGTACTTTCCTTAGCCATCATTCATGACACCTAATATGCTAAGAATCCAAAAGGCAAGGTGCCTGGCATGCCTGGGGGAACAAATTCATCAATGACTTGGGTTCGTATTGATAATTCTCTTTTCTTCCAGGTGTAGTACAGATAATCTCATCTATCTTTTGTTTAGGTTCCATTTTAGCATTTTACTTTAATTATTTGTATTATTTCTCCAATTAAAAAAAAATTATTCATTTGTTTTTGTCAGTGCTGGGTCTTCGTTCCTGTGCACCAGCTTTAGTAATTGTGGCACACAGGATTATTTGCCCCTTGGCATGTGAAGTCCTCCCAGACCAGGAGTCAAACCCTTGTCCCCTGCATTGGCAGGTGGATTCTTTACCACTGGACCACCAAGGAAGTCCTCTTCTTACTGACTAATCTCATGTACTCCAAAACCAAGCCTGTATTTAAATCTTTTCTTTCCTTCCCCTGTTGCTTATTGCAAAGTAAACATACAACAAGTATTGCTGAATTGAAAATTCATTTCCAAATATTCCTTTATTCCTATAGGATTGCCTTTTAAGTGTAGCTCAAGAGACCAAGAAATAATATCCACCTTAATTCACATCTTATATGTAATGGGTTAATCATATAAAGCTCCCTTGGAAGAGAGAAAACCACAAATATATACTCAAAATAATAAAAATTTGCCAAGATAAATTTGAAAGAAAACAGAATAAAAAATGGGTAATTGCCAGTGACATTTGGGTCCAAACATGGATCAGAAAGAAATCAGAAATATTTTACAATGCCAGCACGTTCATTTTAAAAACTCCAAACATTGAATGTATTTTCCAGCATTGTGTTTAAATTCTTGGCTCATATGCCTCATGATAGGGTTCAAGTCTGAAATGGGGCTGAACACGACACAAATGAGGTGAGCGAGATTCCACAAGTCAAGTCCCCTGGAACACAGCGTCTTCTGGAATCAAAATAAAATTAGAGGGTTATTCTATTGTCAATATGGGTGTGTTCGGATTTTTGGTTTGTGGGGATGTATATGTCGACTAGCCAGCTTAAGGGCTGAGACATAAAGAGCAATCATTGACTTAATCTAAACACACGGCAACTGCTTATGAGATAAGCGATAAACAGGTTCTGCAACAATAAAACTCAGCATACTTTTGAACTTATGAATTATAGTTAGGAATGGCTGAACCCGTTTGGTCAAATACATGCCAAATCTTGAAGCCCAATACTTCGCTGGGAATCTTCTCTCCTCACCATCAGGATATTGCTTCTGATGGTCCTAAACTGTTAGAAAATCAAAACCAAAATCTGTCTCAGCACTTAAGGAAATCTCAGATTAAAGAAAAAGGCAGATAAACGTAATAGTAAGGGCACTTCAAATAGGTCCTTTTGCAGCCTGGAAAAAATGACTGGAGTACACAGACACCCCTATTCCTGAGGCTCTGAAGCCAGAGAATTCCCCTGATGGAATTAGGGTCACATACAGCGTAAGAGAGATTGGTTTGATCCCTGATATGGGAAGATTTCACATGCTGTAGATTTCACATACAAGTAGGAGGTGGCTTGTGAAGGTCGTGTGTCTGCTTTGAATCAAGATGACGACAACAAGCTTCTGGAAACCACAGCTCTGATCTTGGGGGTCGGCGGTAGATAAGCCACCTTCTCTGCTCAGACTGTTTCTACACTTATCAACATAGAAATTGATAATATTGATATCTGTCTTGCTTACCTCACAGGATGTTATAAGGCTCAATTGAGATAGTATATGATAAAACATGCTGGAAACAAAATATGAAACACTATAAAAATATAAGATGTCAGATATGATATCAACATGGGAGGCATAAACAAGAAAGGAAATGCCGAGCCAACTTGCAAATCAGATGATGGGATGAATGAACACATGACTGATACCATGGTGAGCCACGTGAGTCATGGATATTTTCATGTGGTGTCAAGGGAAACATGATATGTAAACTAAGGCCTCTCACAGTTGGAAAGGCTTTATTGGACAATTGGAATGTGGAGGCCTCAAAGGAAGGAAGGAAGGAGGGATGAGCAGGTGAAAGAAGGGAAGGGGGAACATATCAGATTTGCTGGGATGTAGGAGACATTTCAAACTCTGTGTATCTTGGTCAGGACTAGATGATGGGAAGAACTGAAGGATAGCCCGAGGAGAAGAAGGCAGCGAGATATGCCAGTCATGAGCAACCAGATGTTTTTCATACTTTCTCTTATTTTTGTTTTGTTTTTTGTTTCTTTTTCATACTTTGTCTCATTTAGGCCTCCCAAACCACCTTACAAAGTAGGCATTATCATCCCCACTTTACCAGAGGACAGAACTGAGGCTCAAAGAGCTTTATCTAACTCAAGACTACTCATTCATTGATGAAGTTTGGATAAAAACTCAGGTATTTCTAAGGCTAAAACTTAATGCGGTTTTTTTTCCCCCTCTGCCTTGTGTCAATATTTACAAATTATTTACAAATTATTTTGGGAGGTCCCAAAAGTCCCAGTGTGGGTAAGATTGGAGATGGGTGTTGGGGTGAAGTGAGAAAAATGTGGTCCAAGCAATGGGCAGAGAAAATTCCTCCCTCCCTACAACTTTGTGTTTTGAATGACCTAATTTTCTTCGAACTATTTTAATATGCTCATCTCTTAAATCATAGAACTTAGCCATGTTTTATTTTCTTTTCTCTTTCTCTCTCTCTCTCTCCCTACAGGCAAAAATAAAGAGAAGATAATTACCTTGGGGCTGACCTGCCCTTTTTAAACACAGAAGGACAACCTGTCAGCCATCTCGTGGTCCCCACCCAAACCACCCCTCTGGAAATAAACACATTACCCGTGCCAGAGTTGCTGCAAGACCAGAATTACAGGACAATCAACTATAGGAAATGCTATTGCAAATACAATGGCGGGCAGAATACACATGAGAGCCTTGTCAAATTCCTCTTACAAAACTTCCTCTTGCAAACATCCTCTTATGACCGTGGTGTGATAACCACTCGCCAAAGTATCTCACCAGGGACAAGATGGAGAGCCCCCTGTTCTCATTATAATTAATTGGTTGTAAGACAGACTTGAAACAATCAGGATCGTGATACAATTCCAGCACAGGCTTCCTCTGATGAAATCTTCCCTGGGCTGCAGGAAATACCTCAGCGGGGAAGGATGCACGCACCAGTCACACAAGATAGACCGAAATGACGAGTTTGTAGTTTCTACACCCCATGCCAACTCTTTTTGCTGCATACTTGTTCTAAAGGGAATTAACAACTGATTTCCATGAAAAATAAGCACAGATCTTTTTTTATTGCAAACGTTTTGTTTTATATTGAAGTATAGCCATGTAACAATGCTGTGATAGTTTCAGGTGGATAACAAAGGGACCCAACCCTAGGTATAAATGTATCCATTCTCCCCCAAAGTCTCCTCCCATCCAGGCTGGCACATTACATTGAGCAGAGTTTTCTAAAGCACAGATCTTTTCAAAAGGACATAACATGATTTGATTCAGGACTTAAAGCCAAACTTCTGGGATCCCAGGGACCTCTCCCAGAAACTGTTCCAGATCTGGTGTTTGGAGCCCTTGGTGGCCATCAACACTGGTTGCTCTTTTTTTTCTCTCCTTTCTTTGTGACCAGAAGTCGGGGTGTGAAAAACGTTCTCACTATCACAAGAGCCGGACAGCTTGGGTTTGAAGCCAGCTTGGCTACTCCCTGGCTACTTCACATGTGAGGTAGTTTCACCCCTCTAAGCAGAAGCTCTTCATCCTCATAATGGGGGTAATTAAAATGTCTGGGCTCAAGCAGTCCTTGAACTCCACTGCGACCTGCAGTTCACAGATCCTACCACGTCTTTGCTGCCCCTCAACCCCACGCAGCTCTCCTTTCCTCTTTACGCAGCTTGAATCCCACAGCCAGTCTATATCATCTCTCCCTTGCAGAGACCCTTGGCTTCCTTGTTCCTTTCTCACTGGTTTTCTCTAAGTCTGATGCCCCTTCTCTGTGTTTGTACCCAGGCCACTGAGGGTGGCTGGACAAGATCACAACCACACTAACTGTCCTCCCTTTCTCTTCACGATGAGGGGTCTCATTGTGCTGCTCCATGAGCCCAGGCACTGTCTCAGCCCACTGACTCTCCCGCTAAGAAAGTGGAACCAAGCAGACAAGTCCCTACTCATCTTTCCCTCGGCGATGTTTCCATGCTTGCCTTCTGCAACTAGGGATAAACTGCCCACAGTCGGGTTAACACCACCGTCTCCAGCTATGTCACAGAGTCATTGACCCCCAGACTGCTTATCTCTTGTGGGGCGGTCTCCAGCCATGTTCTCCTTTTGCTTTTTCAGCATTCATTTCCCCCCTTTCACTGGATGATTCCCATTGTACCATTGTATGTCCCAAAGCCTCTCTCCTCACCCCAAATTTTTCTCCAGCCACTGCCCCAGTTTATCAACTCTACTTTGTAGCAAAACTCCTTTGAATGTTGCCATCACCAGCTGTTTGCAATTTCATTCCAATTCTTTCTTAAACCCACTCCATTCCTGCTTTGCCCTCACCCCCCTCGACCGCCCTGTGTTCCTGGTGCCTTTTACACAATCAACCCAGTGGTCAGCTCTCAGGCATCACTTCTTTTTCTTTTTGCTTATTTTTATTTATTTGGCTGCACCAGGTCTTAATTGCAACATGTGGGATCTTTAGTTGTGGCAGGAAAACTATCAGTTGCAGCCTATGGGATCTAGTTCCCTGACGGGGGATCAAACCCAGGCCCTTTGCATTGGGAGCATGGAGTCTCAGCCACTGGACCACCAGGGAAGTCCCCCTCAGCCATCATCTTATTTTGCCTCCAGCAGCCTTTGACATGAGGGAGAACTTGCTTCTCTCGGAAACTCTGTCTTCACTTGGTGTTCGTGTTGCTAGGACAGCATAACAAATTTATCTCAAAATTTAATAACTTAAGACAATGAACACAACTATTTTGCTCAAAAATCTGCAAACTGGACAGGGCTTGGTGGGGACAACTCATTTCTGCTTCATTCTGTATCAGAGTGGACACTTGAAGGCCAAGGACATTTGGCGATACTTGAAGGCCAAGGACTGGAAGCAGCTGAGGTTCGTTCACTCACAGGCCTGATGCCTGGGCTGCAAAGACTCAGACACAAGGGGCTAGTGCCCTTGGGATTCCGGGGCATCTCTTTGTTTCTATTCCTCTATCTGATCTCCCCAGCGTGGTGGCATCTGCATCAGAGTAGCCAGATGGCTTACATCCCTGGGGCTCACAAGAGTTGAGAAAGAGAGAAAGAGACTGGAAGTCAGTTTCCCAGGTCCCACCTCTTGACCGAGCAGTGTTAGCAGTCAAGGGAGAGAGTGGCTTGATAAAAGCCAGCAGAGTTTGCTAATGAATTGGAAGTGGGTATGAGAGAAGGGACGTCAAAGATTGGGTTGAGCATGGTCTGGTAGGATGGAGCCGCCACTGAGTGGGGGGAGAGTGGTAGAATGCCATTGAGTGGTCTCTTTAACGGCTGACACCATCTTTGGAAATGATAATCTGCCACACTTGGCTTCCAGAATCCTACGTTCTCCTGGACTTTCTCCTGTCTCAACAGCGGCTCTTCCTCACCCTGTTTCACTTCTTCCTCTTCTCCATTCCTCAAACTTCAGGTTCCCCAGGACTCTGTCCTTTGACTTCTTCTATTTTTTATTTTCTTCTCTTTATTGGTGATCTCAAAGAGTTTCATGGCTTTCCATTTCACCCATATTTTTTTGTTGTTATTGTTCCTGAAGATTAAAAAAAAATTTTTTTTTTTTAGTATAGTTGATTTACAATGTTGCGCTAGCATCAGCAATCCCACTCCTGGGCGTATAACTGGAGACAACCACAATCCAAGAAAATACATGCGTACATGCACCACGATCTTCATTGCAGCACTATTTACAATAGCCAGGGCATGGAAGCAACCTAGATGTCCATTGACAGATAAATGGATAAAGACGGTATGGTACATATATACAATGGAATATCACTCAGCCATAAAAAGGAAAGAAGTAATCCTTTTTACCTGCAACGACGTGGCTGGACCTAGAGATTGGCACACTAAGTGAAGCTTGTTACCTATATTCTAATGACTCAAATGTGTACGTCCAGATTGGACATGGCCCATGAACTGCCTACTCGATGACTCTTCTTGGATGGCTCATTGGCCTCTCAAATATAATGTATCAAAGACAGAACTCCAGTCTGCTCCACCCACTGCTCCTCCAGTAGCTTCCCCCCATCAATAGAAGCGCCATCCTGCCAGACGATCGCGCTCAACCCAATTTTTGACGTCCCTTCTTCTGTAAGGGCCTCCAACTGCTGAGCCTCCAACTCAGCAGAATCTGTTGGCTTTGCTCTCAAAAACACATTCGAGATCTGACCACTTTCTAATCTTACTTCTACTCTCCTCTTTCAAGTCACCCATTCTCACTGTTGCAAATACTTTCTTTGTCTTGATGCTAGAACTCTCTGTTACTGATGTGCATTCTGCCAAAATTTCTAGTCAAGAACAACTTGGAAAGCATGATGCTGTGGTATATGTTTCAAAACTATTCCAGGTGCCTTGTTTTTCCTCACCTTTCCAGGCCCTAAGCTGCCTCTGATGCCTTGTGGCAAGGTGAACGATAGCATCCCTCATTTCATATCTTGAGGCTGGTGTGGCTAGAGGTTAGGTCAGGGCAGGAGATCAAAGTTGTTTCCTGTGTGAGCAAAACTGACATTCTGTTGCAGGGATTTTTCAGATTTTATGCTGAACATGAACCCATTTAAGAATCTGGTAGAAGCCACAAACACCCTCCCACATGTACAGTAAAGAAAAAGAACTTGAGATCCACAGTGGGGCTCTGACAACTGTTCCCAAATTCCTGTGTCCAAGGGTCCTGGGTAAAGACCCAGTTCCATAAAGACCAAGAACCAGGGGCCACTTATTGGGTCAATCATTTTCATGCTTTGACATCACTTTAGCCCTACTTTTCATGGCCAGTGTTGGGGAATAGGGGACAAGAACTGTCCCCTGAATTATTCAGAACTCACTCTTCAGAAAAATAGTTTATAACAGTGATTAATAACCCAGCTAACTAGCTGTTTTAATCCTTGAATTGTGAGAAAAAAGTATTACATTGAGGAGAGTGGGTCTGTTTTCATGTCCTATTTTTAGGCAGGCTACATCTGCTGCTGTCTCAGAGACTTAACAATTACTTGATTGGTTGATTATTTTAAAACATATTGACAAAAATAGACACAGAGTTATTTACACTAACACATCCAATTATTCCCCTCTATTACTAATATTCCAGGGAGATTTTAAAAGTAGCTAGAAAAGGAAGAATTCCATTTGATGTTAGAAATCACAAACAAGATTGCTGAATAAGGTCTCCTGGGCTTCCTAAAGTACAAAGTGGTAGTCAGTATTCCAGTAAGGAATATTGGGAACTCAGGATCAGTCCTTATTAGAGAATGTTTGACTCTCATGTTTGTGGTTCTTCCAAAGAGTTGAAGTATTTTTCACTATTACATTTGCAATCATGCACATGGAGTGGAAAATGGGTAGCAAATCTTGTTCATTTCTTTACTGCATATGTCTTAATATTTCTTTTTATTTATTTACTTACTTGGCTGTGTTGGGTCTTAGCTGTGCCACCTGAGGTCTTCACTACCACATGGGAAATCTTCCTTGCAGCATGCAAGATCTAGTTCCCTGACCAAGGATTGAATCCTGCATTGGGAGCACAGAGTCTTAACTGCTGGACACCAGCTAAGTCCCTCCATATATTTTACATGCATGAATCATGAGGATTTGTCTTACATTTCAACTATGTATGCTGCTTTGTAAAAACAATGCTTCATAATAACGCTGGACTTGTAAGACCTTGATTGGAAGGATTTCTGGTTTTGCCCCCAACCTACCAGAGGTAATTTAGGAAGGTATTTGA